GCTGATTTTTTTTTTTTTTTTTCCACCTCCATGAATTAAGGCTGGTTCAGGATAGGGAGCTGAGGAGAGGGAGACTCTAGTTGTTTTCATTTTTGTCTTTGGGGCACATTTTCCCGAAAGATAAACCCTTCAAAAACGTTTTAAAAAGCAAAGTTCATCCCCTTTACTCTGCTACTTTGGAGAATGGGGGGAAAAAGGTTTTCAGAATTGTATGCAAGCAACATAAGGGAAAGCCACTGAGATGCTAGAAGGCAGGAGGCAAGGAAGTGAAGGCTTTTAGAAAACTTGGTTGGCAAGGCTGCGTCCCAAAGATGAGGTAGCCCTGTGATGTTATGCCATTGTCAGAGCTGAAGGGTTTGGACGGCAACCAGATCTAATTCCTCTCCAGGAGTCAGACTCAAAGACCCAGCCCTTCTCCAAAGGGAAATCCAACGGGGGTGCTAAGTAGACTGTGTGACAACTGACTAGACACACCGGCTGAAATCATATCCCCTAGAAATAAAAAGGAGCCATTTCAACGTGGTCTGTGGCCTCCGTGCTGAGACTAATTGGTTTGCAGGGTCTGGGGAGGAAGAGAGAGAGGCTGGTAGGAGCCCCTATAAAAAAAAGATCAAACGGAATTCACTTGAAAATATTTCCCTTTTATAAGAGGCTTTCCTGGCACTTGAATTTTAAGTAACCTATCTCTTGTGCCTGGGCCGAAATGAAGGGGGACATAGTCCTGCTAATGTATTTATTTTGTTGTACAGTAAGCCCAGGGTGTCGGCACTTGTCATATGTGCTGGGATCAATGCACAGTGACTACCCTTGCCCAGCACAAATCACAGCAAGTGGCACTGGCATGAAAGAATGCCAAAGACGGGGTGAGGGTACCTTATATTTTATTTTTATTTTCCAGCCCAGCAGCAAACATGGACTAGAATCATGTTTTTGAAGAAATGCTTCGTTTTGTTTCCCTTGCTCTATGAGTTAGCGGTATATTCCCTTTATCTAAATGTTTTGCATTTTTAGACTGATTTGGGATGATTTAATCAGTCGGGGGGGAAAAAAATTAGCACCCACCAAGCCAAAAAACTTCTGTGGTTTTCTAACTTTGTCTTTCTTTTTTTAAAAAAAGTAACTGGTAGTCAATCAAAACAGCCGAAATAGTTTGTACATGATTCTAGAGCTATGTGCACACAGACAAGAAATAATAATGCCTTTTCCTTCAGTGGCACGTTTTACAAGACATTCAATGGTATAAAAAAAAATCAGGTGAGTGATCCTTTACTAAGTTGATGAAAATTTGTACATCGTTTTGCTGACTGGGGAAAATTGGAGGAAAAAAAAAAAAAAAAGCTTAAAATTGTAACTTGCACTATAGGAAGAAGTCAGCCTCTCCTGTGTCCCTGCTGATCAGTTATCCACTGAGAGCAGTAGTGGCCAAGCTGTGTTAGAGTTCTGAAATTTCATTTCCATTAAGCTACCAAAAGAAAGAAGCTGGAGAAATGTAAGTGAATTTAAATAGTAAACCAGGAACAAAAGGAATTCACTTTTCAAATAATTCTCATTACACAGATTTGAACATGCTGCATTTGGTTAAACTACATTCTCCACCGATATAGCTGCCTGCACTAAAAGCTTCTTTTAAAATGATTGGATGTGAACCATGTCTGTCCCCTGACATGGGCTTTGAAATATCGAGCGAGCTTCATTATACCAGATTTTAAATGCTAACGGCTGGCACTTTGTTTGTTTGTTTGTTTGTTTAAGATAAGTGAGCCTATAAGCCCCATTTTTTTGGTTATTGTTGGTAAATTCAATTTTTATTGTTTATAATGGAAAAGAAAGAAAGGATGAAAATCCAATGCCAAGTTTCTGGTTGCCTCTATGCAAATACTACGCATTTTTGTCTTTAATGGAATGTAAATCTGGACCCTTTCTCCAGTGATTTCATCCAAGGAACAGGCAACTGTGCTTCCTGATAGCCTGCTGCAATATCTTTTAAAATATCTTTTCCGAATGTATTTCGGGAAGAAAATGAGAGAGAGGAACGTGGGAGAACTTTAGGTGGAAGCTTGGAAAGTGAAAGCTGCTTCCCTTGAAAGCTCAGTGCTTAATCTGGAGTTGGCTTTCTTTTTCCCTCTAACAGTTTTTTTCAGTAATTTAGGGATATATACTTGTGTATAATTTAAAACTTGGTTCCATAGTGTGGTTCTTCCTCAGGAAAAAAAAAAAAATTGTTGAAACTATTGCCATTTCATTGAGTAATTTCGTTGAAATTGTATACGCTAATCTAACTCTAGGAACAAACAGCAACTATTTTGTCTCTTTTTTCTTTAAATTGTCTGCATTTGGATCATTTTCCAGCAAAGGCTAAGATATATAGTATGAGGACTCAGAGCCTGTTAGTAGAACTATTATTACGATGCAATTAGAAAAAAAGTTGAGCCAACAGACACCTTTATTTTAAATTCCTACAGTTTTTGCATTTTTGTTTCTAATGTTTTTATTGTAACCCCCTTCACTTTAAGACCTATATCCTATATCCCTTTAAGTCCTTCATTCTTATGTGCTCCACAAATAGTAGAAATTTGAAAATATTTGTTAAACAATTGTGTGGGTGAATAAATGAGAAAGTGAGTGAGAGATGGGGTGAGTAAATGAGACAGTGACACAATGAAGGAAAACCCAGCCCAGATAGGCAGAGGCGGAAGTGATGTCCTGAGACCCGTGCTGGGCGGTAAGAGCTAAGAACTTTCCATGGGGTTCAAACAGCACATTAAAGGAGTTTGCTAATATCTTTAGAGACATGAGATAACATATAAGACTGTTCCAGAAGTTGATTTTCTCATTGAGAAACTGAAGGTTGTTACTTATCACATCTGTTTAAAGGCAGCCTTTTTTTTTTTTTAACCCTTTCCCAAGGATATGGTTTTTATTGATTTTTAGAGAGAGAGGAAGGGAGAAAGAGAGGAACATTGATATGAGAGAGAAACGCCGTTCCGTTGTCTCCCGCATGCACCACAGCCAGAGATCGGACCTGCAACCTGGGGAATGGTCCCTGACCCAGAATCGAACCTCCAGCCTTTTGGTGTTCGGGACAATGCTCCAACCAACTGAGCCCCCCAGCCAGGGCAAAAGTAGGATTAAAAAAAAAAATCTTTTTAATAAAGTAGGATTAAATAAAGTAGGATTAAAAAAAAAAATCTTAAGTAAAATTTGTATTTTAAGTTTTATAGGAAAAATGTACCAAGATATAGTTTCCAAAGAAACTTATGTGATTAATCTGATTTTTTGATAGATCCTATTTTGAAGTCCTCAAAATAAATATGTAAATGTCTTTTGTTCTTTGTATTTGAAATTTCCTGTTGGTTAATCAATAATGTTTCTGGCTAAGGCAGACTCAGGCCGCACTAGAACTGGTGAAATTTCATTTCATAAAATAAATGATATAGGCACTACCTTAGAAAGACTGACTTTGATCTAGCTTTGTCAGCAGCTTAAATAATAAACATGGAGGGACTGAAAATCTGAGAATTTTACAAAACACTCACTAATTCTTACAATTCTTACTAACCAATATCTAGTATATATCAACAAATCAGACAAGTTATTTACGAAACAATTTTAATAATTAATTTTAAAAATCTAAACAAGGTGTGAAGCATGTGTGAGTGTGTTTTTCATCCTAGGAAGAGTGTGTTCATTGCAGTAAAAGCTGAAGTAATCTCTTTTGAAAGATGGGCAGTGTGGAAAACCCATAATCACCTGATTAAAGAAAATGTATGTGGGAGTTTTCAAGTTTAATAATTCAGTTTGACAAGATATATCAATATTTTGAGTAAGCAATATATAATGTAATTTTTCTTGTCAGCAAAAGTAAATAAATGAATGAATACATTTTTTTAGAAAAGATTGGGTTTGCGAGACCAGTAAAATTTAAAACCCATTGCTCTCTGTGTTATTACTGCAATGGTTCTTCAACAAATATTTTTTAAGCCCTGCTCTGTGCCAGGCAGGGTACTTAAACCATGTTGATGGTCTAATGATGCAAAAAGCAGAATTTTCCCTCACATGATGATGAAGTTGGTAATGTCATGAGCCTGGAGACTGACTTCAAATAATCACACAAGTAAATAAGAAGTATATCTATGCAAAGGAGAGGCACCTGGTACCAAAAAAAAAAAAATTCCACACACTTTTGGAGACTTTCTCCTCTGAGACTGAGTGAAGATCTCCCTGATGGAGGAAAGGAAGGCAAGGATGTCACAGGAGAAAGAGAAGCAGTGTGGTGGGGTGCTGAGTGAGGAATTGTGTGAAGCCTGGGAAAGGGTCTAGATCTGGATCTGCAGGCAGAGGCCAGGACCGAACAGCCAAGTTAGAGACGTTTGAAGGTCACAGCTAAGGCCCCGTTCAAGATGTTTGACTTTATCCTGAGGGCAATTGGAAGCTGTTTAAGGTTCTTAAGTAGAAAGGCTAACATGATTACATTTGTAATTTCAAAAGGTCACTCCTCTCCCAGTGTGGAGAATGGATTTTAGGGGGCTAGAGTGAACATTGGGAGGCCCTTGGAGAGTTGATACAGTCATTGGGTTGGAGGGGATGGTAGCCTTCAACAGGGCAGTTTGGAGGAGATGAGACATGGAGAGACATGAATGGATTTGAAATTTGAATAAATTTTATATAATTAAAAACAAAGATTTTTAAAAATCAGAATCTTGAAATACTGGCTGAAAGCATTGAAATGCCCAGACAGAGAGGCTGGGAGTCATATTTAGGTGATGACTGTCTTTCTTAAACTCCCCATTCCACTCAAGCCTTCCTGTGTCTCCAAGCCATCTTCATTCTATCCCACACACTTTTCAGAATCCTACATTGTCATGAAGAACTGCAGTATTAAATGCGACACTGGCACAACATGTCACTAATCTAACTTTCTTCAAATATGCAGATCCCAAAACGTTATCCCCCATTTTTTTAGCCCACAATGGTCTTGTTCTTATTTCATATGAAATAGAAATCCAGTAAGTAAATGTGCTTCTGTTTTCCTTTAAATTTTTAGATACTACATCAATTTCATGTCTGTCCTCATCAGAACTAGTTCACCTGTATTTAATAGTCCAAACAATATTCGAAGGGGTTCTTAACAAGTGGTTGTTTTTTCAGTGAAATCCTCAAAGAAATGAATATGCTCTCAGAGAAAATACACAGACACTCACTAAAAGTAAGAACATTGTTCCTTTGCTTCAGGGTAATTCCATGTGGACCCAGTCAGTCCTCGGAAACCCATTGTAAGGAAGATATTCTGGTTGCTGGGCTCCTTTCTGGTACGAGCTAAGTCACTGTGGCCCTGCTGAGCAACTCAGACTGCTGAGAAAAGATGCAATGGAAATATACACAAACATTTTATGGCTTCTCTAATGGCAATTATGTTTTCTAACTTTACCCCATTCCTAGCATTTCTACATTTGGAAGGCTCCATCGGTTTCTTCTTCTGTTCTCATAATTCCTCATAGTGACCATCTATAAACAAAGTAAAATCTGCACACAAGAGAACAGCTGAATCGCCAAGATTTAGGGCACATGCTTTTACTAGATGCTAAAATAAAAAGAAAGTTTACTTGAGGGTAGTTAAAAAAAATCATGGCACTATATCAAAATTCCTATTTCACACTTAGCACAGAAGGAAATTTTAAAAGATGATTGTTTCAATTTTTTTATCTACTCATTGTTTTGTGAAAATTGGAAAATACAGATAAGCAAACATTTTTAAAAATTAGCTGTAATTTCATCATTCAGAAATACCCACTGGTAACATTTTATGTACTTTTTCCAGTCAAATGTACTTTACAAAAAATGGAATAAAGTTTGGAATACAGTGAAGGGTATAGTGTAGTAACTAAGAGAAAAGCAGGGCTGGAATCCCATCTCTCCCTCTTGCTACCTGTATGACTTTGGGTAGATTGCTTAAATCGTAAGTGTGCCTACTTCATAGAGTTGTTACAAGGTATAAATGAGTTAATATATTTTTTAAAAAAGCTTAAAATAATGCCAGATATATATCAAGCAATTATTACACAGTATTGTCGTCTACTTCTAAATATATATATATATATATATCCTCACACAAGGACATGCTTGGAGAGAGGAAGGGAGAGAGGAAGAGAAAGAGAGAGGAAGGGAGAGAAACATCAACAGTTGCCTCCCATACATGCCCCAAAGGGGGATCGAACCCGAAACCTGCATATGTGCCCTGACAGGGAATCGAACCGACAACCTTTCGATGCACAATATGGTGCTCAACCAACTGAGTTACTCTGGCCAGGCCCACTTCTAAATATTTTAATAATAAATTAATACACACTCATTGTAAATAAATACAGAAGCACATTAATAAGTAAAAGCTTCCCTCATACCCCCCCACCTATATAACCTATTCTTTCAAATGAACAGAAGACTCTGAACATCTTTCCATGTCATTAAACATCTTTCTATGGTTCTATAGATGACAACTCTCATGAAAAGAAATGCTATGGATATTATAAGCTCAGAATACCCAATAGTCCATATTCCGCTTCAGATACTGCACACAGTACAATCATGGAGACTACTTTAAAAGAAATTCCCTTAAGATTCAGTAGTTCTAAACATATTAGGAAAATCCTTCGGATATTCATATTAATGGGAATGATTGAGCTGTTCTTTGCAAGACCAAAAGATTTGCATTTAGTTTATTGTCAGTTTATTAATTCCCATCCTTTGAGGCCTGAGCAATATTCTAAAAAGCAAATTAAGGACTTTCCATTTTGCCAGCTGCAGTCAGCTTTTGGTTATTTGTACTGCTTAAATTCGTAAGCAAACAAGTAAGCGGATAGTTTGTTGAGAATTGGTGACTAATTTATATGATGCTCCAATTGTTGATATAACATTTATTTGCTTATTTCAGAGCTGTCAAGAATATATAATGGGCTCTAATCTCTAACATTCATTTGGCAACAGGAGGTTCAAGAAGTGAGGGCAGTAACATGGGAAAGTGGTAGAATTTAAGGAAGGGAAGATGTAAGAATTTGGGGGGAACTTGGCAGTTCTTTGGCAAATGGTATGGCTGCTGCTTTCCCACCACCCCAGTACGAAGTATATGAAGTGTAGATGGCCACTGTTTATTTTATAAAATATGCACATCCAAATTAAATAATCTGTGGTAATCCTCACCCTTCATCACGCACACAGGCTAATCTAGTTATACAAACGTGAGCGTGTTTGGGTGCCAAGGGGCTGGCCTGGTGGATTCTAAGAATTTTATTTTAGAAAAGACAGCAGCTAGTATCTGGTATCTGAATTTTCTGTTGGCAAACTGGTCCTTGCATGTCTTCGAGGCATATGGAAATGGATGACAAAAGCGCCTGGAGTAACTAGAAATATAATTTGATGAAAACTGAAGCAACGAACTGTGAGAAACTGTTAAACCAGTGTCATCCAACAGTGCTTCAAAAATAATGAAACCGAACCATCAGCTCTTTATGAGTAATACTGGGGCAAAATGAGAAAAGCACATGGTATGTACAAAAAGTCGAGATATATGAGGTAATGCTCTTTTTAATTACTATTATTACAAAGACCACTCTAAAAGTCTCCACCCAGACTCCTTTCCATTTATCTCTGAGTAGACAATGACATCACGTCTCCTCCAAGTCATTCAGACTCAGGGGATGGAGCTGGCTCGTTCCATCGGCAATGCCATGTAGGGTGTTGGCACGGCCCTGAAAGCCTCTCTGCACATTATCCTGAAACTGAAAAGAACGTTTGATGGTGGCCAAAGGATTTAAACTTTTTCCCCTCTAGACGTTAAGCACTCAGAAAATCTGAAGGACAAAAAATAGGTATAATTATAAAACGTCACAGAAGGAGAAAACTTAAAAAGTGAGAGCGCTCCAGTCATCTGAAGGCTAGCAGTTCGTGGAGTCATTAGAAGTCATTCCATCCGGGCTGAGTTTGAAGAAAAGTCAGAGGTTGCTTTGTTCTTGACTCTAAGTGAAATCAAAACCTACCCAGACTCTATACAAAAGCAGCTGCAGGCCGCCTTTTCCTTTCTGGGTCTGGGCAACTAAACACACGTAAATGACTTATATTCAGAGAAGCCTGTGATTCTGTTCATATTAATCCATGTCTCGGGCTGGCAAAATGCCTAAGCACAATCAAAGGGGGCGGGAGGGGTAGAAGTCTGCCTTTTCAAACAGGCTAGAAAATTTGTACCAAAAGATCACAGGGCGACAGAGACAGCTGGAAAAATTGGAGCTGGGGCTCTGATTTTCGTGCCAGTGGGACACCTAATGCAGAGGGAATGCAGAGGATAGATGGAGAGCTGCGTATGTATGTTGTTCAGTTCCACGATACTGTACATACACAGAGGTAACGGCATAACAATTTTAAAGTAATATTGTGCTATAAGGAAACACAAAAATCTCTTGCTGTGGCAGAAAATTAATACATCAGAGTCCAGCAACAAGTTGCTAATAAGATGAACACTTACAAAGAAAAGAGAAGGAAGCAATAACTCCAAACTTAGTCAATAAAGAGGTGAGATGCTTCACTCCTGGCCCTTAATAATCATTTCTTTGGGGGAAAAACAGTTCCAACCAGTGTTTTTACATGCATAGAATTTTCTGCAAGATGGCTTAAAATGCTTGGGACACAAGAGGTTTCCAAATGAGAGATTTTAGGACATTTGTGCTTCTAAAGGAATGTATATGATTTTTCTTGGGTTTCAGTAGTGATTTTATTCATAATGGAGATTAAAAAGCCAGGTATTTGATGTAATTATATCATCTCTATGTGAAGGAAGCTTTTCATTCAAGGTGTTCTTCTATCTAATTTTGGGCAGATGAAGGGTGGCATCCACATCGGAAATGCTGTGTGGAAAACGAAGATCATTGAAAGTTTTACTGAGATGTGTTGAAAGAGTCTGGGGTCCAGGCTATGCTTTCAGACTCCGATATTCCATGGCCTTCGACAGACACTAAGACAAGCAGAACCAAAGCAATTCTTACCACACAGCCCGTGGTCACAGAAAACAGCCTATGGAGGGTCTGTCGCTGAAAAGAATGGCCTCTGGAAGAGAACCGAAAGGGGAAAAGATGTGGAAATGGAGTACGTATATGAGTGTGAGTGTGAGAGTGTGTGTGTGTGTGTGAGAGAGAGAGAGAGAGAGAGAGAGAGAGAGAGAGAGAGAGAGAAGATGGAAATATGTGATTTGAACACTGAAGGTAAAAGTTAAATCCTGAATAATATCAGTGGGTGGACTCAGGCATATATTTTCCTCTTCTCTTTTATCTCCAACAACTCTATTAATAAGAGTTTAAAAGTATAGATGGTAATTACATGCGAAAAATCTTCTAGAACCTTCTGGCATCTTAGGGAAATTGGCTAATAAGTTCCAGAAGGAGGAATGGAATACTCCTAGAAACAACAAACTTATTCCCTTACTTCATTATTTACTTTAATATTTTCATCTTTAATAAAGCAACCTCATATTCTACATACTAATTATATCATTTGCTATGTCTCTAATGTGCTTTTTTGATATTCATGTGCTCTTAGGTTAAAATTCTTTTAGGGTGATATTTTGATAACTGACTGATAATAGACCAATAATATTTATTGGAACATACACTTTTATTTTAAATGTGTACACATTCCCTGAAGCTTTTTTTAAAAAAAAAACAACACACAAAACAAAGCAAAAAGATTAAAGTACTCTACACACATATGCACATAAACTTCTGCACATCTAATATGTAAATTCTTTAAGCGAGCCTGGTTAAGATAAAATCCTAAAGCTAATATGTAGCCAGGCTTCTCTCCTGCCATTCTCTCCGCTTCCCCCTCCCCTGGTTTTCCAAATAAACAGCAGGCCCTAAGGGCTCTTTGAACTCACTAGAGTGTTTAGCTCCAGCAATCACTGGTTCATGTAGCTTATCTTTTCCTGGTATTTCTATGCGATTTAATAGTTCCAGGCTGGCCGAGGGAATGAAAACTTCTGGGTCTGTTTCTGGAAGCGTTGCACTCCCCGTTGCCATCTGCGATAAACCAAATAACCTTTCTGCGCCTCAGCTATTTTCTTACAGCTGAGCCTGTTTTGCAGCAATGGAGTGAAGCTCGAAAACATAGTTGGAGGTGTTCACCAGCGAAACAGTCGTCTTCTGAGCCATGCAGGTGTGTCTAGTAATTAAGTAATGAACAAGGACCAACCTCTTGATGGGGATATTAATTAAATATCCAACATTAAAGTAGCATTTAATTGCCAAGGGATTAATAAAGCAGATTCTTACTCTATTAGATTGGGATTCTTTAGTTATAAGTAATAAAATCGGACCCTGGCTAAGATCAGCAACAGGGAGTTTATTGAAAAGTAACAGGATTACATCAATTGGAAGGCTCAGAGTTGGGGATTAAATTTTCCAAAAATGATTGCACCAATATGTATTCTGTCCCAAATGTTCTTTTTACAATTTGATCTTGACTGTGCTCTGTTGAGAGGCTCGAAGGTCTGTGTTCTTTCCCCTTGAACGTAGGTGGACTTTTACAGTGTTTCATCCAGGAGTGCAGCAGAAATAAGCTCACGTGACTTGGGAGGCTAGATCATTACAAGGGCTTCTGAGTGGATCTTTCTGGATCGGTGGACCTTTAGATCCCTGAGCTGCCACGTAAGAAGTCCGGCCACGACCCCAATGCTACCATGCTGGATAGACCATCTAAAGATTTTGAGAGATGCCCAAGGAGCGCCATCTGTTCTAGTCCCCAGCTGTTCCAGTCTTCCCGGACCAGGCGCCAGACATGTGAGCAAGCCTTAAGCCCCACCTCTAAGCCACCCAGGCAAAAATGAGTAGAGATGAAACAAGCTGACCCCGCTGAGGCCTGTCCAGACTGCAGTCTTCAGCAAAATAGATGGTATTGCTGTTGTTTTAAACTACTAAATTTGGGCAGATTGCAACAGCCATGGTAACTGAAACATTTGGGAGAGAGCAGGAATTGAGGAGCAAAGGGCTGGGAACTAAGAGCTAGAGAAATATCTTGTAGCACTGGTACTGCCACCAAGATGACTCAACTCCAAGTGTCTCTCCAATACTGTATCGCTTGCTTAAGAGTCAAAGTCCTGGAGAGTACATCCAAGGACCCAAATGAGACTGGAAATATACCTTCTGCTGAATCTTAGAGATGCTGGAATGATTTGGTAGACAGAGCCCCCAGTGGCTACTGAGGCTCCCCAGTAAGGAAGCAGGCACCTGGATTTGTCATCCCCACCAAGACTATAACTCGGGGGAAAGAAACTGGATTGTGTTTTGGAACAGCAAATGGGTGACAGACGTCAAACAATGAGTCCATTCAGACCACATTTCATTCTACTTTGATTAATAGTTTTCTTTAGTTATAGTATCCTTGAATACAAATTAATTGCAAGTAAAATGTATGTCTTGTTTGCTAATTGTGTTTTGGAATAAAGTTGCTGAAACAGTCTTTAAAATAATTTACTGGGTATTAGAAGACATTAGGCTCCTTCCTTCCTTCCTTTGTTAAAATGATCTTTAATAATTTAGCATTTAGCACTCAATCTACAAAATACTCACAAACAGAAGAGAAGAGCCTGCAGGTTATAAAAATACTCAGAGCTGCCTTAAACCTTTTTTGGAAAAAAGAAGAAGGAACAAACAAATAATAAATTAGTAAAATATTAAAAATAAATTTCAGGGCCATTGTTTCTCATACCACAGTTCTTTTTCACTTGTATTTAATCTGTATCAAGTGTGGTGGCCCAACACACACACACACACTCACACACAAGCCTCAATCATTTTCAATCAAATATGCTGTTCAAATTCCTGAAAATAATAAGACTCACTGATTGTTTGACTGGATTGGAGGTTTATTTGACTGAACTGAAGGCCATTGATGCAGTAGGCCCATGCATAGACAATGTAAAGCGTTATTTTTCCTTACTGTCATTGTTCCTTCAGGTTTTAATTTGTTTTAGTTATTTAACAGGAGACACAGTTATCTTTTAAGCTATGGTGCACGCAGTGGAAAAGAAGTGATTCTTCGTCATTGAGATTTCTCTGTAACTTTAAACAGGAGAAATAAAGACATTTATAAACCAGGATGCCTTCTTTTCAGTAGAAAAGACATCTGTAGAAGACTCATGATTTGCCCAAGGATTTAAATCAGATTACATAATCTTAGACCAAAATATACCACAATAACACATCACTGCTAAGATAGCTTATTGTCATTTCCTTGAACATGCATAAAGTAGACTTGGAAATACAGCAAAATATGAAGAATTCCAGCCAACCTTGGGCGTCTAACATAGTTTCATATTTTATTGGTGAAATTATTTTATAGATAGTACAGAGATAGATGATAGATATAGATAAAGATAGGTATAGATAAAGATATAGATGTAGATATCTCAGAAATTGAGAATTCCAAAATTTTGTTTTGCAGTTTAAGTGACTGTTTTTCTTTCTTACTGCTTCTGCTTCTTTCCAGCTTGACTTGTCCAGAGAAATCTGGTAAAATCAGGAAAGGGACCTGAGTGTGGAAAGCAGTGGTAAGATGAAAGACGCATGTCACTGCAGAGTCCCTCACTGTTGTCCTTTCACTATTTTGTGGAAGCAGGATTTCCAACCTCAGCACTATTGACATTCAAGCTGGACATTTCTTTGTTGCAGGAGCTGGCCTGTACATTGTAGGATATTTAGCAGCATCTCTGGCTTCTAGCCAGTAGATATTAGAAGCAGTTCAGTCTGTTTTTTTAAATCGTGGTAAAAATATACATTACATAAATTTACCGTTTTAATCATTTTAAGTGTGCAGTTCAGTGGCATTAAGTACATTCACATTGTTGAGCAAACACTGCCAGCATCATTCTCCAGAAATTCTTCACTCTCCCAAACTGAAATTTCATACCTATTAAACAATAACTTGCCTATCCCACCTCCCCTCAGCCGCTGGTTAAACTGTGTTCTTCTATCTATCCCTGTGAATTTCACTACTCATATAAGTGGAATCACACAATATGTGTTCTTTTGTGTCTAGTTTATTTCACTTAGTGTAATGTCTTCAAAGTTTATCCATGTTGTATCATGTCAGAATTTCCTTCCTTTTTAAGGCTCTATAATATTCCATTGTGTGGATATACCACATTTTGTTTATCCACGCATCTGTCAGTGGACACTTGGGTTGCTTTCCCCTTTTGGCTGTTGTGAATAGTGCTGCTGTGAACACAGGTGTACAAATATCTGTCTGAGTTTCTGCTTTTACTTCTTTTGATTATATAGACAGAAGTGGAATTGCTAGGTCGAATGTCTCTAGACAGTGCCAAACGTCCCTCGGGGGCAAAGTCGCCCCGATTAAGAACCACTTGCCTAAAGAAACAACCTTCTTTGAACAATGATATTTCCACAGAGCTGAATCATGGGCTTTTAGGTTTAGAAGGGGCATTAGAAGCCATCTTACTGAGTGATTCATCTCGACCTCATCCCTGAGACTTGTATTTGGCTACTAGCAGTGCTTGGGAACTTGGTCACCTCTAAGGCCACCTCAAACTTTCCCTATCAGTTCTTCTCTCCTTAATCTTTTTTAGTCTACTGGCTCCTTCCCATCATGCTACAAACATGCCCACGTCTCTGCAGCCTATATCTCATACCTTCTAGTTACCAGCAAACATCTTAATAATCTATACAATTTCAACTCCCTTTTATTCTTTAATCAATTGACATCTGAGGCTGCTTCTAATACAATCACCTAATTGTTAGATTCAATAGCTTCTTTTATCTTTCTTCTTGACATAATCATAGCAATATCATTTAATCTGACCCAACTCTCCAGTAAGTTATTTATTCAGCAAGTATTTATTGCACCTACTATACATCACTGTGTAGTAAAGATTTTATTGACTTTTGTCTCTGGTTCCTGGGATGTAACCTCTAAACCCTTGGAATTTCCCAAATGATAGGTATATTTTTCATGATGCACCCCTCAGACCACACCTGAAAGCTCATGCTAACAAGGAGATTCATTGTGGGTCCCTGGATAGTTTATGCTAATGAGATGAATCAGGATGGTGGCTGGCCATGCCAGCAAGACCAACCATGTGATTAGATTTTGGGACTGTAATATAGATTTGGAGTCTGTAATAGATGCCTGCCCTCTGGGAAGTAGGATGAGACTGGAGAATGAGTCACATGGGCAATGATTCAGCCAATCCTGCCTGCATAATAAAATCCTGACTAAAAAGTGTGGGCATTGAAGTTCAGGTCAACTCCCTTGGTTGGCAAATACTCTACGAATGGGCACACATCAGTGTGCTAAGAAAGTAATGTGCATCCTGGGGACAAAGAAACTATATATTTGGGACATTCTCTGTGCCTCTCCTTTGGCTGGTTCTGATTTCTATCCTTTTGCTATAATAAAACTATAATTGTTAAGTATAGTGCCTTCCTGAGTTCTGTGAGTTGTTCAAACAAATTACCAAACCTAAGGGGGTAATGGGAAATTTTGAATTATAGCCAGCAGGTCAGAAATGAGTGTGGTCTGGGGACTTACAAATTTGTGGCTGGTGTCTGGAGTGAGGGAAGTCTCGCGGAGGACTGTGCCCTTAATCTGAGAAGTTTGGCTTGACTCTAGGTAGCTGGTGTCAGAAGGCATTACAATCACTCTGAGGCACTCTGCGACACCACGTTGAACAAAACATTGTTTCCTAGCCTCGTGGAGCTCACAGGAGAGAGAGATGGAAATTAAAATATCATCAGAAAACCAAACACAGAAACTCCTCTGGGTACAGGTGAGTTAAATTTCCAAAGTCTGTTTACAAGTCTATTTGTTCCTAAGTCCAAAATGAAGCCATACAAGTGATGAGCGTATGCGCATCAATTAATGTTGGGTTTCACTTGGTTTCCGTCAGAATCCTACGCCACTAATTAGTCGTTTTCATCACTCTCACTGCCTGTACATTCACTGGGCATAATGAGATTGATAATGCTCATAAAACACCTCCGAATGAAGCACAAACACAGCAAGCACTGGAGAACTAAGGAAATGAAAACAAGCTGGCTAAGATTAAAATGACAACCATGACCACTTCTGCCTTCAGTCGTTGGTGAGCAAAATTGACTTGGCTTTGTCCCAGGGCAAAGCTTTGTTCATAGCAAGGTCTAAGAATTTAAGTTGGGCTTCAGAAAGAAAGGATATACATACTTCCATATATATGGATAAATAAGTGGCTCATTTAGGTGGAAGCTTAGGGAAAGCTTCCCAATGGCCTGAAGGTTGAATAAAAATTGGGCAGAGCGGGAGAGTGCTGTCACAGAAAGAAGGTTTAAGAGCGACAGAGATCCTGAGGTAGGACGGCGCCGGGCATACTGAAGGCAAAGGAGGGTCTACGCAGGGAGTGTGTCTGGGAGTGAGGACAGTTAGGTGAACGTCTGCCTCAGCAAACTGGCACCAAGGCTCAACTATCAGAGGGTGGCTGTGGGTGATGTATGTTTGGGTAAATGATCTGGCCAACACTGGGAAACATGCCAAACCAGCTACCCCATTGGGATGTGAGCTTCCTGGGTAATATATGTGTGTGTGTATGTGTGTTTGTGTTTGTGGTTGCTTGCTTGTGTGTATGAGTGACTTAGATGTATAATAACTTGTTGTTGATAATTGGGAAACATCTAGGCACAGAGGAGATTTAGGTGGTCCACAGGTGTGGCAATGAATAGCTGCAGGTCACATGGTGAGAAATGTATTCCCCCTGTGATTCTTTCCCAATAATTGGGATTAGGACAAGTAAAAGTATTTGTTTTGTACTAGTCAATACTTAACCCCTATATAACACAAAAGTCTCCCTATATAGAAATGAAAATCTCTCAGTATCTAAATAGAATATAACAAACTATTTTGCTTTCACTCTATTTTTATAAATATAAAGCAAGTAAGAGAGATAAGCCATTCACTATAGTAATATCATTTTGATAAATAGATTTAAATGAAAATGTCAGTAAATTTTAAAAATTAAGTAAATACTGCCCAGCCGGGCGTGGCTCAGCAGTTGAGCGTCAACCTGGGATCGGGGTTTGATTCCCGGTCAGGGCACATGCCCGGGTTGCGAGCTCGATCCCCAGTTGGGGGTGGGCAGGAGGCAGACGATCAATGACTTTCTCATCCTTGATGTTTCTATCTCTCTCTCTCCCTCTCCTTTCATCTCTCTGTAATCAATAAAGATATATTTTTTTAAAAATTTAAAAAAATAAATAAAAATTAAGTAAATACTAATAGAGTCTGTGTGTAGGTATACTAAAAGGGCACATAAATGCCAGAGGTTTGGAAAATTCTGTTTTCATGAAATATCAGTGCTGTGTCACCATGAAGCATATAATTCACCAAGGTAATATTCTTAAGAAGAAATAGT